CGCACAAACACTTATTCTAACGTCATATCTTACCGCAAAAATAAGTTATTTACTTATTAATTTATTCTGTTTTATCTTATTTTTATTACTCGTTTTTGCTATACATACATAGTTGTTTATTCTTGTTCTGCGTTAAGATATTTACGTATTCCGCGTCTCCTTTATTTCTATTTCCCTAGCTTCTTCCTTTCCTCCTTCAAAATCAATTCAAAATTCTTGCTAATTACACAGAACCTGATTTATTATTACTATTCTATTATTAATATTTTATTTCCCTTTTCCTTCCTTTCTCAAACATGGCATATGTATTGTTAACATTATTGAAAATTGTGTATTATTGCATTTTTGAAGAAACCCGAAATGGTTTCTACACAGCACTTATGTACCCATAAGGTGTTTATCAATAATAATAATAATAATAATAAATGTTGAGTCCACGTCATCTTCATCAACAGCTAGATAGTTGATAAATGTAGACTTGTTGCAACTGTTCGAATGTGAATAAGATTTATTTACTTGCATTCTGCGTATCGGTATTTAGCAGCAAATCTCACTTGACACTCGTCATCTTGTAGTTTAAATAGTCAACCAATTTTGTTCGAGCAACCATTGAGGACAAGTAAGCACAAAAAGAGGTTAAGTTTTAGTACGAGAATGCTCAGAAGTGCACACGCATCACTGTGACGCGGATTGCACACGCAAATGTCGCGTCGTTTATTGAGCACATAAATCACTCAACACTATTCAGTCTCATATTGACTGACAAATTTATATTGGTTTCCATTTGTACTGTATGTGAGAGAGAGCAGTGTGTGTCATATTTGATGTTACGTCGTACATCATCTCAACTCACAATGTGGACAAAATACAAAGAAGAGGAAATACAACTTACGATAATTGGAGATTGTCATGCAACATTTTGTGAGAGGTTCAACAAAAAAATACAGAAATCAAAATCGTCAGATTCGTCATAATGTCAATGTTGTCATTCACTCAAAGGATTCATACTTACGATTGTGTTTAATGTTTGGAAACATTAGTCCCGTATATGGAACTGCATAATTGATAGAAGAACACTGATTAGAATTTTTATAATGTGTATATGAAAAATATGAGTGTTTGTTTCAAATTGATTTACTGTGATGAATTTCATCAAAAAGCAAATATTGAAATGAAGCACATTTAACGTGGCATAAAATTTATGTATCCATTATCCAGAACAGTCTTAAATTGATCGAGAATCACAAGTCTTCATAAAGAATCACTGAGAATCATGCATCTGGCAAAAAAGAAATTTTGCACCAATGATATTTTCTATGCTTTTGACTTCTGTTTCGCACTCAGAGCTTTATAATAACGATCATGATTACTATTAATCATTCGGAACAATCGTGTTAATACATTGAAGGAACAAAATCACGTCAAGTTATCACCCTTCTCCGACAGTTGAAATCGTCGAGCATTCGCAATCACTGTCAAAGAGAACAACGTTCCATGAGAAGTCAAGTTAACCGATAAGAATCCTAAGTGACTTCACTAGTGATTGAATTAATTCTTCAATCAAACTAGATCTGAAAACATATGATATAATGTAAGTCATCGAGGATCATCATTTACGATTTCCCACCTCACACGGAGTTGTGCTACTTCAAGTAGTCATGATTAATCTGTTACTTAATTTCAGAGAGGACATGATGACAATCATCAATTTTATACAACCGGTACACAATCATTGAGTTGGTAACAAATGTAGTAAACCCTCCATCAATGTTCGATGTCCAGTAAGATGGAGACTAATAAATGTGGATAGTAGTTAGATTATGAAAGTTCGTCTGTTCTCTGTCTGATGTTCCTGAGTAGAATCTCGTGAAAGTCGGTTGTCTGTGTGCTCAGCTGAAAACTGTTTCAAGTGTACACGTATGTGAGAACCTGTCATATCTAGTGTACTGGAATTCATATTAATCAACGAGGACTTTTCTCACTGTCGAACATGAGTGGGAAAAATAGTATGATGTTACAGCTGCATTCCGGTTAAGCAATCTAATCTTCAATATCGAGAACATATTGACAGTCTGAATTTCGATACGGTTGAATTCTATTATTCACAAAATCCATCTTCTAATTTCTGGTCACTCGTGCCATCACTATCTACACTGTTGAGGCTATATTATATTTGTTAAATCAGTGAAACTGAGTTTACTTAATCAGAATTCAATCTTTGCAGAAAAGGTGAACAACCATATCAGTTGTCTTGTCATCAATTTTTTATGTTCAATTTCGACAATTACTGCCCATACTCATTAATTATGTAAAATGACTGAGGTCTTAATGAATTCATAATGTGAAGCTATCAAAATGAAATCAAAATACCGTTGCTATATTTTGTCGCATGCTCAGAAATAATGACAGTATCTAGAAAAGATGCAGTGATCGTTGACTGGACCATGTTTTTCAGTTACACAGTTTAATTAAATGACCGTACTACTACTGATTATATGATGGATTTTCCACCATCATGATACGAATATTCATCTGATAGGAAATACGACACAGAGAACCGTACTCTCCGTCTACCGTTTCTTCTTCGTTGGCAACATCCTTACTGTTAGCTTCTAGATTGAATTTCAATATCAGTGTATGTTACTAGGTTTGAGAATAAAGCCTGATGAAATGTATGTTTGACACAAAACCTATCATTCATATATCTCATGTATCAACAGTTTCAGTGAATTTAACTATAGTGCCTGATCAGAATGTATCATATTATAATTATAATAATAATAATAATATATTCTGAAAATAATATTTACAGAATTCACACCAGTTTACAGGCATGATCAGATTGTTATAAAAATCAACATTTAATGTAGAGAACAAACATGAATTATAAGAAGGTTTTATGTTTTCTGGTTTAGTAATTGATAAACAGTTTAAATATGGCATATGTCACGGCAAGCCAATGCAACACCAGGGAACTTGTCATTTTTTCATCAAGTGGATAGCCTGATGATTGACCAACATTATTCTGTAAGGTTGTTACCAGTGCCAGAGCGAGTTATTATTAATTATCTACAACTAGAGAAAGTAAGATTAAAGCAAAGAGCACGGAACAACAAAACAATGATAGCAAGTAAGAGGTTAAACATTTAAAGTTCCTATAATCTCACTTGTGGAGTAAGATACACTTGCAGGCGCTAGAGCATTTAATGCATTTTCAGAGGAGCAAAAAGCATTAATTGACCGAACAAACAATGGGAGAGAGTCTAACATACGGGTAGTTTGGGGTAAATTATTCCATAGTCTAGAAAACTTACAGGTAAAGTAATTCATATAGAGAGAAGACCTAGAATATGTTTGTTTCGCTAAAGACAAGGAGTTACGAATGTCGTAATGTGAAGCCTTAGCATATTGAATCGCCTGACTGGATGTGAAGGAGAGTTTGTTAAGTATTTTGAAAAAGAAGATAAGGTTAAGTTTCAGTCTCCTCATCCATAAAGGGTCAAGCCCTAGTTTACTACACCTCGAATTATATGTCAAGACACTATCAGGTCCAAGAGTACGAAATGTAAATCGTCTCTGTACTGATTCCAGTCTTAACTTATCCTTTATGCGCGTGCTACTAAGGAGAAACGCGCAGTATTCGAGGAGTGGTCGAACACAGACTTTGTACATTAGAATACGGGATTCGCTGTTATGAAGGTTTCGAGTTATGTAACCTATAAGGCATTGAGACTTGGACGTTTGTTTCATTACCTGTTCAGTAAACGACAAGTCATCGGAGTACCTAAGTCCTAGATCTACTACTGTGTGTAACCTAGATAACATTTCCCCATTTATGGTAAGATTAAGGTTGAGTGATGTATCACCGAAGCATAGCCAACCACATTTAGCTGTATTGAGCTCCAGCTGCCATTTTGAGCACCACTGTGCTACCTTGTTAAGCTCCATGCTGATGCAATTTCGAATATTGCTCAGCTCATGTGGAGAAAATGAGTACACCACCTTAAGATCGTCTGCAAACAAAAAGGACTTACCCACACTAAAACACTCACAAATATCATTAATGAAAACTAAAAAGAGCAAAGGACCTAAGACACTACCCTGAATTACCCCACTTCTAACAGGGACTGCGTTCGACAATGAAGAGTTGATTTTAACTATTTGATGTCGATTGTTGAGGAAGGAATCAAGCCAGGCTAGTAACGGGTTTTCGACCCCATAAGATGCGAGTTTACCTATGAGAAGTTGGTGGTTGACCATGTCGAAGGCCTTAGAAATGTCCAGGTATAGCACTAATACTAGATATCCTTGGCTACGAAGCGAATAGACTAAATTAAAGAAGTCAAAATGACATGTCATACAAGATCGATTTTTAAGAAATCCATGTTGCGAATCACCAATAAATTGTTCAGTCAATAAATAGCTGGATAGTTCGTCACTAATAATTTTTTCCATAATCCTAGAGATAACTGGAGTAATATTTATTGGCCAATAGTTGTTCATGTCAGTCTTATCTCCGGATTTGTAACGTGGTATGATGTACGCGGTTTTCCAACGGTCAGGATAACAGCCTGATTCCATAGAGAGGGTAAACAGTTTAAGGAGAAGAAGTTGGATATCTGGACCACCATATTTGTAGAGAAATGATGAAATCCCGTCTGCACCGTGACCTTTCGAAACCTTGAGCTTATTTATAACCTTACTAATTTTCAGACATGTGAAGGAGATAGATTTAATGGAGTTACCAGTCAAGCATATAACTCTAGAAACAGAGCCATTTATGGATTCTTTGTCATTTGCAAAATTACCACTGAAAAGGTCTGCTATAGTTTTTGGGTCATATATTAAACTATTATTATGCAGAATGCATGTTATATCAACATTTTGAGTTGATTTAGCACGTTTATTATAAAGGTGGATTAGGTTTTGCACTTTTGAGCTAGTACGTAGTGCTAATAGCTCTTCATTGATGGCTTTTAACCTATGTTTCTCTTTTATTTGGTTAAAAATTATTGTTATTTGTGTGACTGCTGTGAAGTCGTTAGATTTAAAATAACGTTTCTTTAGGCGTCTTAGTTTATTACGAAATTTAGCTGGTATATATAATTCGTAATGTTTACTAATCCTGTAAGTCTTAATTGGTGCACAGGAGTCTAGACAAGAGTTAACAATGAAATAGAATATATTGATGGCATCTGTCAGACTATTACATGAGAAGAATTCATCCCAGTCTGAGAGTTTGATCAGTGAGCGCAAGAGGTCCCAGTCTGTATGCTTATAGTCTATATAATTGCAGGTTCTTTGAATTGGTCGGTTGTAGGAGGGACAGATGGGGAGAGCACAAGTTACTAACCTATGATCACTGCTTTCAAACTCGTTGTATACTTGTACAGATAGGGGAATGATATCTCTACTAAATATTAGATCAAGTGTATTATCACCCCTTGTTGGGGTACGAACCCACTGTGACCAGCAGTACAGATTAAGGATTGATAAAAATTCATCATTGCTAGACTGACAACTACCGGTACTCCAGTTAATCCCAGGATAATTGAAATCACCAGTGATAATCTTAGCGCTGAAGTTTAGAGTAGATGCGTGTATAAATGCATTGATAACACAATCATTCAAATTATCAGTGCTATCAGGAGCTCTATATATACAACCTAGGAGTAGACTATGGTTTAGGGTATTGATTGATATCCAGATCGATTCTGGTAAACTATTCAAGATACTATCTTCAACTTTGTTTGTTGTTAAGGTATCCAAAGCAAATATAACACAACCGCCTCCTCGCTTAGTTTCTCTGTCACAGCGATAGAGTCGATAGTTTTGGATATTTAATTCGGAATCGGCCACTGCTGGATAACACCACGTTTCAGTGATAAGTATAAAAGAAGGCTTGGCTAGAAAGGCTAAGGTTCTCAAGGCTGAAATTTTGTTCAGAAGTGAACGTGCGTTAATAAGTAATAAGTTTAAAAAGGGAGTGTGTAGTGTAAAAAAACCGAGAGCATCCTTATCGAAGGTATGAGTTCTAGCTATGCCTGGACTATGGTTCAATGTGTTTGCTGGATCGTATGGGCTATAGCATGAGCGAATTGTAGTGCTAGTGGAACAAGGGATCTCTGGAGGCCGAAAAAAAAATCCTTATTTTGGTAAGGTTGAATAATTTGTTGTATTTGTTTTGGTGGACAATTAAGACAGGTGCCTACATGTTGGGGTTGCGTTGATGGTGCATAACCTAGTATACCATCTTCTCCACTGCGAGAGTGATGATAAGAGTTACATCTTGCAGGTTTATTATTTATTACATATGGGGGAAACCATGGGGCACGTTGGTTTATTGCCGTCTGTCTAATAGTAGGCCTGCTTCCATGATGGTTGTAGTGGCCTTCTTGTGTAACGTTTGAACGAAACGTGTCCTTATAACCTCCCTTACGATGAGTAGGGTTAAGCGTAGTTTCAGAAATTATACTTTTGTTTGGTAAAGCCGTTGAAATATTTTTGGTAATCGGTTTGGAACTAGAAGGTTTTTTATTTACTTTCTTTTTAATTGATATATTCTTTTTACGTTTAGCAGTGTTTTTATGAGCCTTCACAATAGAATTAGGTGTTCGATCCTTGGCTTCCGATATTACACTGGAAAGAATGACATTAGAGTCTCCATCAGATATGTCCTGGTTATCTAGGGCCACTAGGGGTATGAGAGGCAAACTTACACACTGCATTGGTATATCAGTACACTGACTAACATGAGATAAATTAGCTGCACCTGTGGGTTCAGCTGTTGGCGCGATCACATTTGTTGTGACCTCAACAATGTTATTTTCGTTTATGGTACGCTTTTGTGTTAATCTTTGATTTGCGGTTTTGTCCGAGACTATACGAGCGTTTTTAAACTTCGTATGCGCACAAACAAGCTGTTCAGATTCTATCAAACGTTCCGCTAATAAATGGGAATCGAATCTAAACAGGATAGGGCACGAGTATTTTTGATGCTTTTTGTTAAGTCGGATACATTGGCATGGACTGTCCTGGAGGTTAGCTGCCTTTAGTATCGAGTTTCTTACAGTTTTGATGGCAACCTTGTCAGGTATATTATATATAATCACGTTATTTCGTGAGATTATTCGCTTGGTGACTTCGCTAGCTATCGAGTCAATAACGAATTCTACTTTGATCCTGTCTTCGAGTTCAGAAGGAACTATGTCCCTTGACAACAGCAGTCGAAGGGGTGACAGTGTCTTTAGTTCTAGTTTAAGATCATCATGCTTTAATAAAGAGCCCGCAAGTGACTCCACTTTAGAACGCATATCACTTAATTGCTTAAAGACAGCGGCTAATTCGCTCTCAATAAGATCGATACCATCTGTTCGTGACTTAGAACTCATTATTAAGTTAGACATAGAGTCATCCAGCAACATGTGTGGAATAAGTCCACTCCCACTATTATCTGGTGCAACAGGAGTTGCAGAGCATGGGGTAAAGGTAAGACCAGAGTTGACATCTGAAGAACTAGGACTTTTTCGAGCTCGTTTTTGTGTCCATCGAACCATTTTTCTTCAAGGGTTAACTGAATGTTATTATTGATTAATAAACTAGAGTTTAACAATATATAAGCACTTTGTAATAAATACCGTGTGATCGTAACGCAAACTTCAAACGCACCGCAAACAAGAGTTCTGTGTCGCAAATAAACTGATCACACCTTCTTTCCAAATTGTGATTCCATGAGTTTCCTGTAAACTTGATGAACGATTGTCGATTATATATAACTTGAACTTTTTACAACTATGCTCCACTGCATATTGTCACATCGTTCTTTTGAAATATTTATGTATATTCGACTCTATTTGTTTACACTACACACTTTTTTTTAAACTTATTACTTATTAACGCACGTTCACTTCTGAACAAAATTTCAGCCTTGAGAACCTTAGCCTTTCTAGCCAAGCCTTCTTTTATACTTATCACTGAAACGTGGTGTTATCCAGCAGTGGCCGATTCCGAATTAAATATCCAAAACTATCGACTCTATCGCTGTGACAGAGAAACTAAGCGAGGAGGCGGTTGTGTTATATTTGCTTTGGATACCTTAACAACTAATAAAGTTGAAGATAGTATCTTGAATAGTTTACCAGAATCGATCTGGATATCAATCAATACCCTAAACCATAGTCTACTCCTAGGTTGTATATATAGAGCTCCTGATAGTACTGATAATTTGAATGATCTTATTATCAATGCATTTAGACACGCATCTACTCTAAATGTAGGTTAATATCCATTAATGAAGAGCTATTAGCACTAAGCACTAGCTCAAAAGTGCAAAACCTAATCCACCTTTACAATAAACGTACTAAGTCAACTCAAAAGGTTGATATACCATGCATCCTGTATAATAATAGTTTTATATATGATCCAAAAACTATAGCAGAACTTTTCAGTGGTAATTTTGCAAATGGCAAAGAATCCATAAATGGCTCTGTTTCTAGAGTTATATGCATGACTGGTAACTCAATAAAATCAATCTCCTTCACATGTCTGAAAATTAGTAAGGTTATAAATAAGCTCAAGGTTTCGAAAGGTCACGGAGCAGACGGGATTTCATCGTTTCTCTACAAATATGGTGGTCCAGATATCCAACTTCTTCTCCTTAAGCTGTTTACTCTCTCTATGGAATCAGGCTGTTATCCTGACCGTTGGAAAACCGCGTACATCATACCACGTTACAAATCCGGAGATAAGACTGACATGAACAACTATCGGCCAATAAATATTACTCCAGTTATCTCTAGGATTATGGAAAAAATTATTAGTGACGAACTATCCAGCTATTTATTGACTGAACAATTTATTGATGATTTGCAACATGGATTTCTTAAAAATCGATCTTGTATGACATGTCATTTTGACTTCTTTAATTTATTCTATACACTTCGTAGCCAAGGATATCTAGTACTAGTGCTATACGTGGACATTTTTAAGGCCTTCGACATGGTCAACCACCAAACTCGCATCTTATAGGGTCCAAAACCCGTGACTAGGCTGGTTTGATTCCATCCTCAGCAATTGACATCAAATAGTTAAAATGAACTCTCCATTATCGAATGCCGTCCCTGTTAGAAGTGGGGTAATTCAGGGTAGTGTCTTAGGTCCTTTGCTCTTTTTAGTTTTCATTAATGATATTTGTGAGTGTTTTAGTGTGCGTAAGTCCCTTTTGTTTGCAGACGATCTTAAGGTGGTGTCCTCATTTTCTCCACATGAGCTGAGCAATATTCAAAATTGTATCAGCTCGGAGCTTAACAAGGTAGCACAGTGGTGCTCGAAATGGCAACTAGAGCTTAATACAGCTAAATGTGGTTGGTTATGCTTCGGTGATACTTTCTTGCCTTAAGGTAACCTTCGTGCCGTTGATAGAAGAAACCAGAGAATTAGTGAATAGGTCTTTATTTCGCTCTTCGCATAGTCACAGTGGAGCGTGGATTATCTGTTCAGAAAAACAAAGGCTCTCAACATTCAATATAAGATAATAGGGAATATAACGCTTACAAAAAGTAAGGAAGTGAATTAATACTTGAACAATAATGTTTTAGCATATGCATGGTTGTTTGGGGTCAACTCTTAACTAACCAACCTGAGCTGTTACATTAGCTTCCCCCTAGAATCGACTTCCGTAGGAACGTCGGTTCAATTAACCTATCTATCGAAAACACCTTAGTTCTATTTCTCATCCCAAGGCGAAATTATCAACTCGCTCACTATTTGACTTACATTCATTTACGACTAACGCTTTCAACGATAGTCCATGGATGTCAATTCATTTACTAGCTTGTCATCTTATTTTGTAGCATGTGATCTTTTCTACAACTATCGCTGACGGTTTGCTGCGTGCTTTCAAGAGAAAGTGTGAGAATGTGGAATAAGAATATCTAAGGAAGTGCCGCGAGCAGGCTACCAAACGCCATGTTGGTGAGAAACGATTTTTCCATGCTCAGACCGGCTATCAGGTATTTACTCACCTGTCTCTTGAGTCGCCCTCAAGTAAAAAGTAAAGAAGAGTCTACTTCAAAGATAATGGTGAAAATCAAGCAAACCTGAAGAACTGCTCCACTGCCTGCATAAAATAATAAGATACGAAATGGAAATATATAAATGCAATTGATAATTGTTCGGTTCATGTAAGTGCTTGGCCTCCAGAACGGATTGATATTCTGGAAGGAAATAAACATAGTGCAGATATCTTAAGCACGAAGAACCATGAAAACAAAAAAAGCTTTTTTGTAATGCATATATGTAAAAGGGTTAACGTGCTAGAGTTTGAACTCTTTAACAAAATCTGTCAAATGCATGACCTTGAGCCAGTGATGACCGCGTTTTACAACTAGGTGCGTAACCAAGGGTGTGTAGTGGATGTCGAGTCGAAGACGGACTATGGTCACCACTACAATTCGTTTACGCGTAGAAATATGACTTGGTTCCCTTGATAGCCCGTAAACCAGAAGGCTTTACTAGTCCAGATAAAGTATATTTATTGGCGATCTCGTGGTATCGAAATAATACCGAGACGTGCCAAAGAGTACAGGCGAACAGGCAGTGCGTGAGCAAGCTCGAACCAAACCAGGCGGTATATGGAACAAGAAGTGAAACGGATACAGTTAAACAAATACAGTAAAACAATCTCTGGTACAATTGGTTACAATAATAATAATTGTTTCTATTATTCCAATCGTGTTCTTATCGAGACTGGCCGGTCACTACAGGAGCCCCCGCTAGAAAGGATTTACACTTTCGATACGTAGCGGTTTCATTCGTGGGACTGATCGCGAAACGTGCAATTGTAGGACGAAAACGTTGGCAGAACAGGGAGTGATCGTTGATCCTCGAGTTGCCACCAAAAGTCTTTGACGTAGAACGGTACCAGAAGGAACGTGCTGTATTGATTGCTTGGATTAGCATGCTACACCAGAGTGGTTTGTATCCAGAATCTGAAGGTTGCGTTCGTAGAGGTCCGGACCAGAAACGCTGCAGACGTAGGACGAAACCAGATTGAGCCAAGGAACCAGATGCGACCAGAATAACCATGTTCGGGTCCAAATGTATACCATACGTATTTGGAGACAGAGAGGTCGACTGAGTGCGTTGACTAGAGCGTGGGTGATCAGGCCAGCTTTCGCCAAAGTTTACTGAAGTCGACGATACCGGAACAGCGATGGTCGAAGGCGTAGGCTCGGAGTAAAGACAAAAAAAAAATGATAGAAAAAGAGAAAAGTGTAGCTTTCTTGTAGTATAGGGGTAGATTCCTATACTGTATCCGTAGTTGGTTATGAGGTTAGTCGAGAAAGCGTACGGGTAAGCGTACTCGGCGACCAGAACGTGAGACGGTAGTCTCGTTCGAACCTCGTGAGCCTGCAATCTCATCCGCAGTCAAGGGCGGTGTGGTCTGTAGGTCTGGACGTGAGACGGAAGTCTCGTCCGTAGACGGGGCAGATGACACGTGCTGTTGACTGGGACGGGAGAATGAGGTCTCAGGTGCATCTAGCGTGGGATCCGAAGTAGATGTAGAAATCCCGCTAGAAGCTCTGATGGGTCTAACATTGGGTCTCGGCTTATCAGGTATAGCACTGTCATCGACGTGTGCTGGCTTGAGACGATCAATGCTGACTGTTTCGATGCGACCACGTCGATCAACCTTGAAGGTCTTTTCGTGACGAGAAATCACGTGAAAAGGTCCTTCGTAAGGCTGTTGTAGAGGTTTGCGTACCGAATCTACTCGTATGAAAACGTGTGAACAGGTAGATAACTCTCGAGGGAGAGCGACCTGTCGATGTTGTATACGAGTCGACACCGGAGTCAGTGTTCGCATGAATGCAGACAGTCGTTGGACGTAGTCTGATTCGCCGAACTTAGTGCTGCTCCGTGGTGTGAAAAATTCCCCAGGCAGACGCAATGTCGTGCCGTAAACAAGTTCAGCGGCGGAACATTGAATATCTGCCTTTAAACTCGTTCTGATTCCCAGGAGGACGAGCGGCAGGGTTTCGTACCAATTGTTGTTTTCGTGTGCTCGAAGAGCACTTTTAAGTTGGCGATGAAACCGTTCAACTAAACCGTTTGATGCTGGATGGTAGGCGGTAGTGCGTATGCGTTCCGTACCAAGCAGCCGTGTTAGTGAGGAGAATAATGCGGACTCAAATTGTTGTCCTCGGTCAGTCGTGACAGTTTAGGGACAACCGTACAGAGCTATCCATCGTTCTACGAAGCGGTGAGCAACTGTCTCCGCCGTAATAGACGTGATGGGAATAGCTTCGGGCCATCTTGTGAAACGATCAATGCACGTGAGTATGTGATCATACCCGTGCGATGGTGGTAATGGTCCTACAATGTCTATGTGAACGTGATCGAAGCGAGCATCAGGCGTAGCGAAAGTGCCAATAGGGGCAGCTACGTGCCTGTGCACTTTTGATCGTTGACATTGTAAACATTGTTTTACCCACATACGGACATCTTTCTTCATGGACGGCCAGACGTATCGTGCAGCGATGAGGCGTAAAGTGGCTGCGATACCAGGATGAGATAAACCATGAAGGGCATGAAAGACGAGACGGCGATAAGCGGAGGGTACGATGGGTCGAGGTAGGCCCGTGGAAGTATCGCATAGGATAGTACCAGAGCTAGTAGCTA